ACCAACTATTCATCCATTCATCCATCCATGCATTCATCATTCATGCATTCATCAGTCCATGTAGCAATTCCTATATAATTTCCCACGATTGGTAGAACGGCGTTCCTTTAGAACATTACAAACTATTGTATAAACGTTTGCCGAAGAGGTACAGGTATGTACATCAGTGTATGTACGAGAACAAACACTGACACTCCCACTCACACACACACACACACACACACACACACACACACACACACACACACACACACACACACACATACACACACCAAACACACACACATACAGATACAACACACACACTCGCACACACAACGCACACACACACAACGCACACAACGCACGCACGCACACACAACACGCACTAAAAACAAACAATTTACTGAATAAACTTTAATTCGATTTTAATAAAAAAATAAATGAATAAAAGGAAAGAAGTTAGAGTGAAGAATTGAAAAAAAATGTGAACAAAGCCGACAGAAAGATATTAATTATTCAAACGTAGTGCGTTAAATTAGAATAAAATTAACATATTCTAATTCAATTTGCCCCTAAGGTGTTTTAATTAAGGAACAAATTTTTCAAAAACATTCGAAACTTATAAAAATTCAGAAGAAAAAAAAATTATTATTAATTTCGAAAAAATTATTCATTAAAAATAATAAATTCTTCGGAGGAAATCATTCATCGTAATCATGATTCTCACTGCCATCATCATCACCATTACCATCATCGTCTTCGTCATCGTCGACGTCGTCATTGTGTATTAAACGTCATCATGGTAAAGTCTGCAAAAACCATGTCTGCGTTACCATGTCTAAAGATTAATAAGGTGATTTATTAACCAAATACTGCTACTATAGAAACAAACACAGACAGACGCACAAACATACATACATACAGACACCCAACCCTTTAATACACATACACACACACACACACACTTATACACACATATATACGTACACACACACATACACTTGCGTATGTGTGTGTGTATGTATTCAATATGCATGTACCTATGCCTGTTCAAAGATAACGTTTCATCAAAACGCAACATTACTGTCAACCTTGAATAACGAAACAATCTGGCAAAAGAGTGACAGAAGTGGATGAACGAATGAATAAATGGATGAATAGATGGATGAATGGATGGATGGGTAGATGGATGAATGGATGGGTAGATGGATGGATGAAAAAGCCAGTGAACATACTGTCTACAAATGTAAAAGATGATTTTTTTAAACTAATGATTGCAATTAGAAATTAAACTGAATATAATAAATAAATAATTAAAAAGTAAAACTAAATAAAAAAAAGAAGATGAACAACAGCTAACAAAATAAGCATCACATCAAAGATATCATTTATTTATTCGTTCGTTCGTTCATTCGTTCTTTCATTCATTCGTTTGTTCGTAAATTCAACCAATCAATCATTTATTCATTCATTTATTCACTCACTCACTCACTCACTCACTCACTCACTCACTCACTCACTCACTCACTCACTCACTCACTCACTCACTCACTCACTCACTCACTCACTCACTCACTCACTCACTCACTCACTCACTCACTCACTCACTCACTCACTCACTCACTCACTCATTCACTCAATATAAAATTCAATAAACAAACAAACCAGCAACACAACTAGCAAAAAATGTGTTTACTTAGGTAAGGTCCATGTCGTGTCATTGATCTCATCGCCATGATGATCGTCAACATTAAATAATGTTACATTCAAATGAATGCATCATGTAAATGTATACATTTTATACCTTACATTCAAATTCAAATGCAGTCTCTCTTTTTCTCTTCTTTCTTTTTTCTCTTTCTCTCTCTCTCTCTCTCTCTCTTCCTCTCTCTCTCTCTCTCTCTCTCTCTCTCTCTCTCTCTCTGGTTGTTTTTGTCTTTTTTCCTTTTTATATACATAGTTACAACAAAAATATTTAACAGCAGATTGTGGTTTAACCCAATTTCTCTCTCTCTCTCTCTCCTCTCTCTCTTTCTATTTCTTTCCCATTTTTTCTCCCTCTCACCCTTACTTTAATTCTTCCACTTTCGTACAATCTTTTATTTTTATTCTTTCTCGTTCTTATACAATACATGGTAAAGTAATATTGTAAATAAGAAAACATGTGATAAAAAGTGAAATTGTATCAATCTCTCTCTCTCTTTTTCTCTCTCTCTCTCTCTTCCTCTCTATCCCTCTCTCTCTCTCTCTCTCTCTCTCTCTCTCTCTCTCTCTGGTATATAGGCATTGATTTATTTACTTGTTATTGGTCTACCAGCCAAACAAACGAACGAACGAACAAAACAACTGCCTATGTTTTATAGTAGTTTATTGTGCGAAACATAGGCATCTGTGTTTTTGTATGTTTGTACGTGCTTTTGTATGTTTGTACGTGTGAATGTATGTATGTAAGTGTGAATTGTTTTGTGATCAATTTTGGATATTAATTTACATACACCCACATACACGCACACACACACGAGCACACACATACATACACACGCACATACACACACACACGCACACAGAGTTTTGCTTTTGATCAGATGCTAATTAAAAAATTGAGCAAAGGACAGAAACACACATGATAATTAATATAAAGACATATACGCTTGCTTGCTTTCTTTCTGTTTCTCTTTATTCATTTCATCACTCTCATTTCTCTCTCTCTCTCTCTCTCTCTCTCTCTCTTTCTCTTTCAGGCGTACAAACATACACACACACACCACACGTATACAAACTAGTAAAAATAAATATGCACGTTGTGTTGTGTGGCATGGATAGTGCGGTATGACATGAAAGTTTAACTATTGGCAATAAGTACAAACTAATGCGTAAGCTGTTCAGCCGCAAATCAGAAATATACACACAATAGAACAGATACACACAAACTGATCTCTCTCCGTCTTTCTCTCTCTCTCTCTCTCTCTCTCTCTCTCTCTTTTTCTCTCTTACTCTTTCTTGCTCTCACGGTGGTTTTTGTTGAAGCTCTCATGCTAGCCTAATAGAAAAATGCGGAAAAAAAAACAAAATGACTAGCTTAGCACCAACTCAACCGCTTATTCCACATAGCACGAAAGCCATATGCGAGCATTGCAAGCATGGTTGGGCAACATTCAGAAATGTGTGTGTTTGAGTGTGTGTGTGTGTGTGTGTGTGTGTGTGTGTGTGTGTGTGACAGATTGACGGTTTGAAAAAATGATGAATGAACGGACAAATGAATGGATGGATAGACGAATGAATGATGAGAGATAAATGAATGAAGAACTTTATATATATGCAATGTTATAAAACGAACAAACCAAGAAGGGAGTGATTGACAAATTGATAGACTGAACGAAATAATCGATAGAGTGAAAGATAAAAGGCTAGTATTACATTTTATAAATGTTTTATATGAGAAAAAATGAATGAATGAATGAATGAATGAATAAATAAATGAATAAATGAATAAATGAATAAACAAATGAATAAATGATTGAATAAATAAATAAATGAACTAATGTATGAATGAATGAATGAATAAATCAATCAATCATAAATGAATGAATGAATGAATGAACAAACGAACGAACGAATAATTGACCAAAAACAGAATGAACTAATAGATGATGAAAACTTGAATGAATTATTTCCTACCAGCACAAATACAGGTAGTAGGGTAGTACATGCTAGAAAATGTTATGAATAAAGAACAAGATAAGATGCCTGATTTATTGGCACTTACAAACCTATACAGACTAGTAGTAGTAGTGTCGAATGTATATCTATATATCAAAAATATATTGATATATTGATACCATATATATCATAAATTTATTGATAAACACACTAAATGGTTGATAATTTTAGTGTAAGCGTAGAAAGTTGCCTGAGATAAAAAGCTATAACAAAAAATAAATTAACCTGAAAATACTAAAAATCTATCTTTTATTCATTCATTCGTTCGTTCGTTCGTTCGTTCGTTCATTCGTTCGTTCGTTCGTTCGTTCGTTCGTCTATTCATTCATTCATCCATTTATTTATTTGCTAAGTAATAGTGACCTAAGAGCTTTGGAGAGAAAAAAACGCAACAACAATGATGAAAAAATGTTTAAAAATGAAAAAAATTCACCAAAAAGTTCCTGATGTTTATTGGAAATATGAAAAAATACTAAATATGAAAAAATACTAAAAACATGAAAAAAACATGAAAAATAAGATAGATAGATAAAGCCAGCCAGCACTCAATAAGTAATAAAATACTTGAAGACTCATGAGAGATAGGATTGGATTGTTTACACTAGGTTTCATACCACGCACGAACAACGTGATCAACAACTATGATTTCAAGAAAATTAAAGCAAAAACATCGTCAAGAATGACGTCACTGTCAGCAACAACAATTGAGTCAAAAAGAAAACATCAACAAAATCATCATCAACAACAAAACCATTGAGAAACAACAAGATGATAACAACAATAGTGATACAATTGAAGGTAACATTATTTACAACAGTTAAACAACAAACATTAACAACGACATCATCAGCAACTGTTTATTTCTACTATTTACCAACAATTAAGCGATGCTTATAGATATGACTATCTTTTAGTATGTGTCTATGTATGTATGTATGTTAGTGTGTGTGCGTGTATGTATGTATGTATATATGTATGTATGTATGTATGTATGTATGTATGTATGTATGTATGTATGTATGTATGTATGTATGTATGTATGCATGTATGTATGTATGTATGCATGTTCTTAAAGGAACCATTATATACTACATACATACAAACAAATAAACACTCAAGTATTATTTTTAAACAAAATGTAAAGATAAATAAACACTTGACTATCCCTAATTATACACATGCCTAGCAATTAAGCACACATTTGCACACACACACAAACGCGCACACACGCACACAAACACACACACAAAAACAAACACACACACAAAAACAAACAAAACCACATAAATTTAATAACATTAAGATACCAAAGCAACGACTAACATCAGCTCTGATGCCCTCCTCAACTTCTTGTAAGTATTAACCCACAGGCCATCGGTGGAGGAGGTGATGGACGACCCTGAAGCCCCGTCAACCACCGCCCTCTTCCACGTCAGGGTGTTTCGGTTCCTACTTTCAAAGATCATTTTCTCTTCTTCTTCTCCGATCAGATCATCATCATCATCATCATCATCATTTACGTCGTTGTTGTTATTATTGTTGTTGTTGTCGTTATTATTACTATTATTGTTTTTCACCTGTTTATTGATATTATTATTTTTGTTGACGTCATCAACTTCTGTTTCCTCTTCGTCGTTG